GGCCTCGATGGCAACGTCGATCTCCGACCCCGCTGACTCCGCTTGCACTTGCACGCCTGAAGAATCGAACGCATCGTTTGATTCGCACCCACGGCTATATCTCGACGGCAACTCGGCCGTATCTCCTCGCCACCTGCTGTATCCGCCAAGTCAGCAGCAACCTGCGACGCGTTGATGGCACGAACGGTTTGGTTGAGGTCCTGCTCCGAGAGCGCTCGCCCGTTCCTGCACAGAGCAAGGCAAAGTTGTGATTGGTGCTTCACGAGGTGCAACCGGGATATGTGCCGGGGCATGGGCGAAATCCTGCGCAATCGAACGCTGTTGTGGCCAAGCCTCTGGACTGCAGACGCAAACCAAGACGACGAGCACGGGTTGCTGACTCGACCTTGTAAAACCTATTCATGCTGAAGCGATGAGCCGAAGCTGCAACTGCACGAACTGCTGCTCCTAGCTCTCAGGACCCGGAATCCGTTGGGACAGGACGAGCATGGCGCCTGCATAGGCATGCCAACGTGACTGCTTCTAGCCGTGCGCGGCCATAAGACTAGATAGAATGGAGGACAACGCGGCCCACTTCTCCGTTGTGCTCTCGGACAGAGAAATCTCTCGGTGAGGTGGCTTTCGGCTATTCCACGCACCCGGAAGGAGTACCAGTACCTGCCACTAGCGCAGGTGCTGACGTGCTTGAGGCGTCGCCGGTGCGCTGTCGGTGGAGGCAGCGGCGGAGGCAGCGGCTGCGGAGATAGCGGCGGCACCGTGGGTGGCGACGGCAAAGATGGCGGGCGAGGGAGCGACGGAGGAGCCGATGGCGGTGGCGGCGACTCGGGGGGGTGAGGCGGATGTAGTGGTGGCACTGGATTCAACGGCGGCGGCGGCGGAGGTGGAGGAGCAGGCGCCCTGCTGGGCGGATACGGCGGAGGCAGTGGTGGCGGCACCGGCGCCATCCCCGGTAGGTGTGGTGGGAGGGCAGGCGGTGCGGGTGGTGGGCTCGGGCGGCCATGAAAGTCGAAGATAGATAGGGCCTCGGCGGCGGTCACCACCTAGAGCGCACACCGCCCCTCGCGTGAGTCCACGCCGCACCGCGCCAGCGATGGAGCTCGGCATGCGTTTCGGTTGCGTTGACGTCGCACTCGCTGCCCTCATAGCACTGTGACTTGACGGCCGTCTTAATCTGGTCGCCAGTGACCTGCTGCCCGTCCGCGATGTAAAAGGTAATCGGACCATCCCTGCAGTGCCGGCCAGACGGACATAGGCACAGGGCTTACGTCTTCGCGTGAGGGAGCATGGGAACGCAGGGTGTAGTGTGCAACGTGGATCGCGGCTATCTCGGCATGACGCACTGCTGCAGGAGCTCGATTTCAGACTCCTCCGTGGCCCCCATGGCCGCCTGTTGGGCGCAAATGCCCGTGGTCAGAGACGGTGCGGCGATCTCGGAGAATCTCTCAGCCGGCCTCGCCTCCACGGTGTCGACGATGTTGCCGATGGTGGTGTCCTCCTAAGAGTAAACGCAGGAACCAACAAATAAGAGCAGTGGCAAGCCGGGGGTCCTGACGACCTCGTGAGTCGAAGCGCTTCGACACCAGGGCGTGCACTCGATGCGATGCAGCCGAATGTGTCTTCTCGAGTGCCAGTTGGAATAGCGGGATGTATATGCAGCATCTTGGGCGCCCTCCTTCACCTCGCTGACAGGCAGTTGGGCCTCGTAGTGGAGTGTGCTGGTCAAGGGCGGGAAGGGCGGTGTGCTCGGCGGTGGGGAGGGCGGCGGCGACGGAGGGGGGGGTGAAGGAGGAGGTGGCCACGGAGAAGGCGGCGGCGGCAGCGGCGGCGGCGCCGATGGTGGTGGTGGTAACGGCGGTGGCGATGAGGGAGGCGGTGGAGGAGCCTGTGGCTCTTCGGTGGGCACGGCTGGCGGGAAGGAAGGCGGTGGTGGAGAGGGCGGTGACGAGGGCGGCGGAGAGGGCGGCGGCGAAGGCGGTGGCGAGGGCGGCGGAGAGGGCGGCGGCGAGGGCGGCGGCGAGGGCGGCGGAGAGGGCGGCGGAGAGGGCGGCGGAGATGGGGGCGCGGCAGGAGGCGAGGAGGGCGGCGATGCTGGCGGCGACGAGGGCGGCGGCGAGGGCGGCGGAGAGGGCGGCGGAGAGGGCGGCGGCGAGGGTGGCGGCGAGGGCGGCGGCGAGGGCGGCGGCGAGGGCGGCGGAGAGGGCGGCGGAGAGGGCGGCGGAGAGGGCGGCGGAGAGGGCGGCGGAGAGGGCGGCGGAGATGGGGGCGGCGAGGGCGGCGGCGAGGGCGGCGGCGAGGGCGGCGGAGAGGGCGGCGGCGAGGGCGGCGGCAGCGGCGTCGGCGGCGGCGGTGAGGGGGATAGCGGCGGAGGCGATGCGCCCTGTGCCGACGGGCCGCACTCGGAGCAGCCGTTGCAGCCCCCCCAGGTGCACTTGTTATCCCAGTCTTGCGTCTTGTCCTCACAGAATGGCTTGCACACCGGCGCGGGGGAACACTCGGAGCAGCCGTTGCACCCCCCCCAGGTGCACTTGTTATCCCAGTCTTGCGTCTTGTCTTCACAAAACGGCTTGCACACCGGTGCACGGAGAGAGCACTCGGTGCAGCCCTTGCAGCCCTCCCAGGTGCACTTGTCATCCCATGCCTGCGTCTTGTCCTCACAAAACGGCTTGCACGCCGGCGCGGGAGAGCACTCGGTGCAGCCCTTGCAGCCCTCCCAGGTGCACTTGTCATCCCATGCCTGCGTCTTGTCCTCACAAAACGGCTTGCACTCGGACTCGGCGCCGCACTCGGTGCAGCCGCCGCAGCCGGCCCAGCTGCACCGGGCGTCCCAGGGTTGCGTCTTTGCTTCACAGAAGCCCTGGCATTGTGGCGGGCTTGCAGGCGGTGGTTGGACGTAGCATTCGCTGCAACTGTCGCAGCCATTCCAGGTGCAGAGCGACTCCCACGGGTCGGTCTTCTTCTCGCAGAAGGGATTGCACGCGCCATCCACCCCTCCAACGAGCTGCAGCAAAGCAAGGAGGGGCGCTGCCCGTGCGGCTCTCCTGCCCGGCATCGGACAGCGACCGACGAGAACACGGTCGTCGGTCCGACTCCATTCTCTTTTTCGAACTGATACCACCGGTGGTCAAAAGCCGCAACCCGCTCGCTCGGGCCTCCTCGTCGGGGGCTCGTGGGCCAGCGCCCCCCTCACGGGCGCGCTAGCCACCCCGGCCGGCGCACTCCTTGTCGCCCCCAAAGCCAAGAGCTTGGCGGCGGTGCCGCCCATCAATCAGCGCGGCGCGCGCCGCGTCGTCGAGGCCGGGTACCGAGGACCACTGCGCCGGCATGGCCGCCGCTTGGGCGTACGTGAGGGCGTCGGGCGTGCTGAACGCGTAGTCGGAGCCCATAACCCACTATAACCCACTACTACTCGAGAAAAAAAAGAATTCTGTCGTGCATGGACATGGTGGTGCTACTCGCTACGGCGCTGCAAGAGCCGATGCTGCTCCTCGCTCAGACTGCCGCACGCGCCGCCGGCCGGCACATGATCTCGAGGCTCGGAGCGTGTGTCGAGGCAACCAAACTGGACAGCGCCGACCTCGTCACTGCCGTAGATGCCGAGTGCCAGGAGATCGTCGAGCGGCACATCCGGGAGCGCTACCCGACGCACGCGCTCTTGGGCGAGGAGAGCGTTGCACCCGGCATTGAGGCGGCGATGGACGCGCTGCGAGTGAGCAGCGCCGCCTCCGAGTATCTTTGGATCATCGATCCGGTCGACGGCACGACCAATTTTGTCGCCGGACTGCCCCTCTGCGCGGTGTCGGTCGGTCTCACGCGGCGCGGCGAGCGGCTCGCGGGCGTGGTCTACGATCCGTTCCGCGACGAGCTCTTCAGCGCGTGGAGAGGCGAGGGCGCCACCCTCAACGGTGCGCCGATGCGGGCGAGCGGCTCAGCCTCCCTGAGCGAGGCTGTCCTCTGCGCCTGCGCGCCCCACAACCCGGCGGCGATGCGGCCGGCGCTGCGGTCCATCGAGGCGGTGATGCCCGTCGCCCGCTCGGTCCGCATCCTGGGGTCGGGCGTGCTCAACTTTGCGTGGGTGGCGTGCGGGCGGCTCGATGCCTACTGGGAGCCCGAGCTGGCGCCCTGGGACTCGGCGGCGGGCACGCTGCTCGTCGAGGAGGCGGGCGGGTGCGTCAGCGACATGGACGGCTCGCCGTATCGCCTTCGCACGCGCGCGGTGCTCGGAAGCGCTCCCGGCGTGCACGTTGAGCTGCAGCGGCTGCTTGAGGGCGCGCTCGCGACGAGGAGCGAGGATCTGGAGGGGGCCTAGAGATGTGAGAGCGGGAGGGAGCATGCATTGTAAATTCGCGGGGCGCGGCACCGGCAGTGCCCAAGCGAGTGCGCTGCGGCCTCGTAATAACGAAAACGCAAACACACACGCGGTCGAGGCCGCACAGTCCGGCTGAGTCCTGAGAGGAATGGGTCAGCCGGTCTCCCGCCTGCGACGAGCGGGTCGGCGAGGCCTTCCAGTGGGCGCGTTCCGCCGGCAGAGCTGCTCTAGCGCCTCCTCGCTGACGGTCACCGACCCGTCTGCGTCCACGCAAACGTCAACCCTCGCGAGCGCCTTGCCAGCACAAGGCCCTTGCACACACATGCCGTCATCGAGCCGGAAGAGCGCCGCGTGCCGAGTGCAGATCAGGTGCTCGCTGTTGGGAGCGAGAAAGGTGTCAGGAAACAAGTTGAGCGGACCGCCAGCATGCGGGCAGTGGTTTTCGAAGCAGCGGATGCCAGAATTAACGCCCACCACGAACAGATCAAGCCTGTGCGCCTCGCCATCCACACCCAGGCTCAGCGTCTCGCACTCGAGAGACTCGAGGTGAGCCGGCCGCCGGCTCAGCAGGCGGCGCCTCGGGCGGGTGCACAGGCGCCGGATCATGGAGGAATATCGCATGACATATACGTGTCGAGGCCGACGGTGGCGGCGGTGAGGGCGAAGCCGACGGCGGCGACGAGGGCGGGGCCGACGGTGGCGGCGGCGAGGGCGACGTATTGTGTGGTTCGGCCACAGCCTGGGGTCTGGCTCCCGGGAAACGTCAGTGACCCAAAAAGAAACCGTGCGATCGGTGCTGTATGAATGGTTGGGCAACTAAAACTCTTGAACAGCGCTTCATTCGAATGGCGTTCGCCTCGGACGGCCTGCCGCCGCCGGCGCACAACGCTGCCGCTGCCGAGGGCGCGGCGCGCGGCCGCGCGCAGCGGCCGATGATGGCCAGAGACCCGGCGTCAAGCGCCGACTCGACGGCGAGCTCGCGAGCGCGCGCGTCGGCGTCGACGACGCCAAAGGAGGCGACACCATTATGGTGGACGCCACGCACATGGCCGCTGCGGCGGCCGCCGGCACCGACAGCACCACGAAGCGCCTGCTGCACGTCGCGCTCGCGGCGCGCGACGGCACGCACATCCCTGACATCAAAAACAAGACGGCGCTCGTCACCGAGATACGCCAACTTGTCAAGAAGACACCAGGCTGCGAGGCGCAGCCGGCGAGCGCGATCAGCGTGCCCATCATCGGCACGTCGCGGGCCGTCTGCGTCGCCTTCAGCGGCGAGAGCGAGGCACGAGCCTTCCTCGAGCACCACGCCGGCGGTGGCGCCATACAGCTCCCAGCTCCGGATGACGTCACCATCCACTTCGTCGCTCTCGACGCCTCCGAGTGGGGCAGGCAGGCGGAGGCGCGCGAGCTCAAGGCGGCGACAGAGTCCGACGGCCTCCTCGCCATCCGCACGCGCGGCGCCATCAACACGGCCGCCCAGATCGAGCACTTCACTCCTCTGCTCGAGAAGCACTTCGGCAACGTCGTCTCCGTCCAGGAGGGATATCACTCTTTCCTCGGCATCAAGTCGGACGAGAAGGACGGCTCCCTCCTGTTCAAGGTCAAGAACGAGAACCTCGTCAGCGACCTCCCGCTCCTGCGCAACGTTTTCGCGAGCGGCGATGTCGGCGGACCCCTGCGCCTCGACGTGGGGTGCGTCAAGATCCTCGGCAACAAGCTCTGCCCCTCCTGCCGCGCGTTCGGGTCGACCAACGCCGACATCGTCCACGGCACGCTGTGCGAGGCGCAGGCTCTCAAGGCTCGGCGCGCTGCAGCGGCCGGCGTCGCCAAGAAGAGGGGCTTCCAGACTCTCCTCGCCGACAACAAGGTCGAGGTCGCGCGCGCGGCGGGCAAGGTCAAGGCGATCGCGGCGCGCGACGGGCTGGGCTTCTGCACGACCTTCAACCAGACCGGCCTCCCCTGCAAGATCAGCGCCCGCTGCCGCCACGCGCCGTGCGTCAACTACGAGGAGCTCCTCGGCACCGCTTTCAAGGGCACCGTCTACGAGCGGATGCCGAGCGCAGTTAGGCTCGCCTCAACCACCGCTCTGAGTCTGTTGTGGCCTTAAGTCTGTGCAGGCAGGTTGTGAGGGACACGATCCGTGCGTCAACATGATTAACTGACGGGTATGCATTGCCCATCCAGGGCTATCATCTGGACCTATCAACAGGCGCATGCGGCGCCGTGCTCAGGAGCTGCTGCTCCAACCTGTTCACACTTTCGTACGCACAGTAGGAGAGTCCGGGTGCCTCGTCTTCGGGTGGGGACGGACGAGTTGCACGGTCGCGTCGCACGGTCGCGCCCATGAACGGCCAGCGTCCAGCGCCGCTGCATCCGCCCGCCGCTACACCATCGCCACCATCTCCGGCGGTGCAGCCATCGCGCATTCGATCTCCAACGCTCCGACTCCGCCGCGCTGCGACGACGCTGGTTGGAGAAATGAATGAAACCCTCCCGGGGCTCAGAGCCCGTGCACGAGGGGCCACAGGCGTCTCACTGACGGAGATGCAGGGCCGCTTGAAAGACGCGGCCCAGCCAATCGCTGCCGCAACGCGAAGTGCGCTCATGGAGCCGGGCATCACGCTCGCGCTCTTTGGCGCAGCGCTTGCACTCATCCCACCTTTCATTGTGCTACTCGCTCCCTTCATGCTTCTGCTGCTTCCGCTGCTGCTTCCGCTGGGCACTACACTCTCGGCGATCGGTCTTCTGCGCGCCGCAACTGTGGCCAGCCTCTCACCGCCCAGACGCCCTCCCAGCGGCGCGTCCTCAAGCGCCGCCACCCTCTCGCCCTCGAGCGTGATGGATACTCCCCGTGGCAGCACAACCCCCGGCGATCCCGACGGCGGCTCGCTCTCCAGGCTGGGTGAGGTTACAGCTCAGCGCGGCGAAGCTCTGGTGATGCAGGTGGCGGGCGCACTCAAGGCGAGCGTGCACCGCGCCACCAATGAGGTGCTGAGTGAGCCAGACACTGTGAGGCACGAAGGATGTTTCCCACACCACGCACCGTGGATAGGTCAAGAGTGAGCTCGACATCCAGTTGGCCGCGCTTCAGGAGGAGCTACAGAGCTGGGTTGGCGCAAACTCCAACCTGCGGCCGCACGCCGAGGGCCAGATTGGCTGGCTGGCGCGCACCCAAGCGGCGGACGTGGCAAAAGAGCTCGACTGCACCGTGGACTTTCGGGAACTGTACGGCTCACTGCCGCCGGTGAACGAGCCCCTCACCATCGAGGCGATCGAGACGCTCCTGCCACTCCCGACGCCGGACGCGAACTGTTCGTGGCGCGCCCTCCGCTACCTGATCGTGCCGGGTCTCCGCCCAGCTGTTGTGCCCAGCGTGGTGCATGTCACGACGCGTCCACGACGCGTCCACGGCGTCTCCGATAGGCCTGTTGACAAAGTGGTACCCGATGTACATGGCGCAGCTGTGCTCCGACTTCAAGCGGCTCGGCTTGCGCTTCGTTTTCTCGGCCATCGACACTGACCAGTCCGTGCGCGAGAATGCGGGGCGGCTACGCCACGAGGTGTTGGAGCTCGCGGCGACGGCGGAGGGCGAGGGCCGCGTGGTGCTGCTCTGCCACTCCAAGGGCGGCTGCGACGCGACGGCCGCGCTGACGCTCTTCCCGGAGCTCCTGCCATGCATCGCAGCGGTCGTGACGATGCAGTCGCCGCACTCTGGTTCGGCGGTCGCTCACGACCTGGCGCACACCGAGGTGCAGCGCTCGATCGCCATGAGCGCCCTCGAGAAGTTGCTGCGTGGCTCAAAGCATGCGGTGCTGGACCTGTCATACGAGAACCGGCGCGCGTTCCTCGATCAGCACCCCTACCCGTCGGGGGCCGTGCCCACCATTTGCTTCGCATCCTGCGAGAAGCCGCCGCGTTCCCGCCGCGGTGAAGAATAGAGCCGCTCCACCGCGCGCGCTGTGAACAGGCGAGAAGCGGCCGTCCTCGCTTCTCAAGCCCACGATTGACTATTTGGCGCTGCGCTACGGCGAGTGGTCGGATGGATGCGTGTGTCAAGTCGACGCCACGCTACCGGGCTGCCGCGCCGTCTTCCTCGACGACATCGATCATTTTGGTCGATCACCGGCCACCCGGCGTGGTTGTGCTCCGCGCTCGCGATATTTCTGACGCGCCTCTCCCTCTGGCCGATAGGCCCAGCGTGGCGCTCATGGCCCGCCACCGACTCTTACGACCCGGCACGCCTATGGCTCACCGCCGTCTCTCTCGCGGTGACTGCGAATCCTAACAGATCCTAACGCGCCCCTCACCCTGTCATCAAAGCGCCCCACCCACGCCGCAAACGCACCGCCGGCCCAATTTGGCGGCTCGAGAATATGTGGATCGCGGTCGACAGCTATGGCGTGGCGGGCCCTTATTGTCGCCCGTTGTTGGTGTTCTGTGTCCTGCCCTTAAAAAAGCCTATCTCTCACTGTGCGAGCTGTGTGAGCTGTGAGGGTCCGCAAAAGCCAATTGAGAGGAGTAGGAAAGGCGGGAGAAGAAAGCCCGCGTGGCCGGTTCTTTTGCGGTGAGGTTTTGGTCATCCGTCAAAATATCTGAAGATCCTACTACGGGGTGTGGACCCTGAGTTGACCAGGGGTTGTGCGCTGGGCCCTCCTGCTCGGCTCCAGCCAGTAGACAAGTCTTGTCATCAACAGAGTAGAAGGATCTGACCTCGGGGCCGATGTGACCAAGCGCTGGTAGCGTGGTTTAACCTCAAACCCATGGTCTCACAGTGTGCCGGCAGTCGCCGAGCAGTGTCGCTCACACAAGCCGCAGCACAAGTGACTGAGGGCCAGTGAGGGCGAGCCCATCGCTGTCACAGCTGTGGCAGCCGCACAATAGGCTGTGTCAACTGTGCAGAGTGTGTGAGCAGCAGAGGAGCTGCTCTCCAGGCTTCTGTCGCAAAGAGCTGCATGCCACCGAAAGCGCTGTCGAGGTTCGCCGAGCGCGGCGCAGGTTGAGGGAAGCCGCCACCGACGAGCGCGTTGGACTTTTCACTCCGGACAAAGACGGGTACACGCACACGAGCCGCGGTCGTGTACCCGTCTTAGCGGCGAGGCGCGGGACCGTCTGTGGCGAAGTGGGTCGCGTCCCTCGATTTCCTCATTCACGGTCCGCTCCCTCTATAGGATTCTCCCCAAACCTTGCTCAGCTGATCCAGCCTGGGGGGAAGGCCAGCCCTGGGCAAAGAAACCAGCACCTCATTAGTCTTCCCTGAGCGTCACAGCTCGGTGATCGCGCCGGCCGGACACCACTGAGACGGCCGTTCCGGGCATTTGAACGCGACCTTCGGGGGCAAAGACATGGGCTCTATGGCTCAGACTGGACTCCTCTTGGTCCCTTCTGATGCCCTAGGCCACACCTGGGCCTTACTTGGAGCTCTAGGGGGTGGGCAGGGTTTGCCCCCCCCAACTGGCCCGAAGGACCTTAAAAAGCCTATCTTGAGCACTTGAGCACTTGATAGGGCCGATTCCTCATGGTACGGGACCCCTATCTCTCACTGTGCGAGCTGTGTGAGCTGTGAGGGTCCGCAAAAGCCAAGAGAGGAGTAGGAAAGGCGGGAGAAGAAGAGAAGAAAGCCCGCGTGGCCGGTTCTTTTGCGGTATTTCCCCGTTGCGTATCTCCTCGTATCTCCCCGCAGTTGGTGAGCGCCGACGACGTGTTGAAGGGTGTGGCCGAGACCGGCCCGAACTACACGCTTCTGCCCAAGCGGGAGCGGAAGGCAAAGCGGCGGCGGCGGCGGCGGTAAGCCGCCGAAGCGTCGGGCGAGAGCGCGAGCGAGGATGGCATGGATGGGCTCCACGAGGCGGCGGCGGCGACAGCCGGGGCCACAGGGAGGCCGAGCCGGGCGACGCGACGCAGCAGGTCGATGCGCGAGGCGTCGGACTCGGAGTGGGAGCTCATAGACGTCGGGGGCGAGACTGAGTACTGGGACACGCGAGTGGGGGGCGATGAGAACTACCTGGGCGAGGGCGCCTTCCGGTGGAGGCGGTGCGGGGCGAGCGGCGCAGCCAGTCCGGCGCTGTCGAGTACGAGATCAAATGGGAGGGCTACTCGTCGGACGAGAACACCTGGGAGGAGGCGGAGGACGTGTCTGCCGATCTCGTCGCGGAGTGGCACCGGGACGCGGCAGCGGCAGCGCGAGGCGAGACATGCACGAGGTGGAGGCCGGCGGAGCGGGGGGGGGGTGGCACGAGCTCCGGTGGCGTGGGCACAGCGGGTGAGAACACCACCGGAGCCGCGCGCCCAGGCTGCAGCAGGGTGCTGCGCAGCGCGTTGGCGGACGCACTGGCGGAGGAGTGGGGAGAGGAGGAGGCCCTGTTGGGCGACGAGGTGCCGCTCCTCTCGCCGCACGGGCCCGACCTTTCGAAGCAGCTGCGACATCTGCGCCGGCTGCTACGCGAGTTCCTTGCGGAGGAGGCGAAGGAGGGGACGGGCGTGCCGATGCAGTGCACCCCGACGGGCCAGCATCCGACCATGCGCTGGACGCCAGGCCCAGGGGGGGCGGGTGTGCTGACCGAGGGCGACTTTGAGGTGCTCTGCCGGATGGAGGTGTCGTTCACGCGCAAAGAAGGGCGAGTACTTTGCCTGCTACGACTTTGGCACGGCGATCACGCCGGATTCGGATCAGATGGTACGCATCGGGACGGTGGCGATGATCCGGCTGCTGGTGCGGTGCGCGGCAGCTTTCTGGCTTGCTACTCGAAGCTGAGCGAGTCGGAGGCGCGGAGACTGCGCGCCAAGGTTGCGGATCCGAGCGGCTTTTCGGGGCTCGAGATCGAGGACACTGGCTACGAATCGTTCGAGGAGCTGGTGGCGGCGTGTCGGGCGAGCGGGTGGGTCTTGGACGCTGCGGCACTCGACCGGCCGCTCTTTCCTGGAGTGGATGAGGACACGGGGCGCTTCCTCTTCAGTCACGGAGACGTTCGAGGTGGAGCGGATCTGCAAGAAGCTGGTCGACACCGGCATCAAGATAGGGATGCACAAGCACAAGGTGGGCGCCTGGAGCCTGCGCAAAGACGCCTCGGAGCAGCCGGCGGCCGCCGGCGACGGCGAGGTTGCGGCGCGCGTGTACCGTGCGGATCTGCGGACGCGCGATCTCGGCGCGTACTGGATGCGCCGAGAGGCGCTGCCGAGCGTTGAGGTGGGGCCGCCGAGCCGCGTGCCAAAGGTGGCGCGCGCGCGCGCGCGCGCGGCTTTGGCGTCGTGCCGGCGTCGTGCGAGGAGCACCGGGCGGCGGTCGGCAGCGTCGCGCTCGCCGAGGCCTGCGAGGCGGTGGCGACGGCGCTGCGAGAGTTGGCGGCGCGCATGTCGACCCCTGCTGAGTCCTGAGAAGCTGCCGTATTACGGCTTCAAGAAGCGGGCGCGCAAGCGCGGGGCGGCCGCCGAGCTGACTGAGTTGTGAGTACGAGGAGGCGCTCCGGACGAAGCGGCGGAATGTGAAGCGCACCGTCGAAGCAAATAGATTGTACCGGCCAAGCCCCGGCCGCGGGCCGGAGGACCAGCCTCGACAACAAAGTTATTCAATTATCCAGCTACCTTAAATAAATAGAGCAGACATCTCCCGGAGAGATGGGCGACGGACGAACCCAGCTAGGTAATTTTTCTCCTGCGCAAAAAAGTGAAGTCTTTCGAATTCTTTTGTTGCTTGCAGTCCCGTGCGCCGTGTTCAGCCAGAAAGAAAGAAAGAAAGCACGCGGCCAAGGGAGGGATGGGAGGACCGTGCCCAGTGTCGTGCGAGGGACGATTCTCAAAAAAATTCTTTGTGAACGCGCGGCCTTTGTGCGCGGCCTCGCTCAAACGCGCGCCTGCCGGGGCGGGGCGGTCAGGCCCTCCAAATTCCGGGCCGGAGCGTAGCGGAGTAATCTGCCCGTATTTCTTATCTCCCCGTATCTCCCGGTATCTCCGGCATCTCCCACTATACCGCCATGTCCCGCCATATCCCTCCCAAATCCCGCCGCGGAAAAAATTATAAAATCGCAAAAAAATTAACGCACCCAGGATGGGCAAGGGGCAGCTCGCCACCATCGGAGGACGCCATCGCGTGAGCTGAATTCCATCGCGCGAGCTGAATTTGGCGCATAATGATCGCCTTAACCGCCATCGCGGCGGCCGCCTCCTTTGGCCGCCCTCGACTGCTACCGCATGCGGCTCGGGCGTGCGTGGCGAGGCACCGCGCTGCGGCGATGGAGGAGGCGGCGGCAGACTGGAGCTTCTTGGACGCAGCATACCTGATCACGTGCCCTGACGACGACGGGAGCAACCCGAGGCTAGACCGCGTACTGCCGCTGCTGCGCCAGGTCGGGCTGGGAGACCTGGTCGAGGTTCGCAGCTTTGAGCGCGACGACGCTGACCGAATCCGCGGCTGCTACTCGAGCCACATCTCGGTGCTGCAGGAGGCGCAGCGGCGGGTGGAGGGGAAGCGGGAGTGCAATATCCTCGTGCTCGAGGACAACATCGACGTCTCGCCGCGCCTCTCGAGCGACACGCTCGCCGCAGTCCGCGAGTACGTCACGGACCCCGCTGCCGGTGAGCCGCGGTCTCGCTGCGTCTCACTGCGCTGCATCCCTCCCCGCCGCTCACCGCCGCCCCCCCCCCCGCCGCCAAGGCCCTCGCGACATGGTGCACCTGGCCTACATCATGTACGTGCCGGGGCTGCGGGTGCAGCGAGCCGCCACCGCCAAGGCGACGGTGAGGAGCCTCGTGCAGCCCTTCTCGGAGCCTCCCTGCAGGTGGAGCGAACGAGCGGCGCGAGGGAGCGGATCGTGCGGCTGCTGTGCACGCCCGACTCCGTGCTCGGTACCACCGCCTACCTCGTGACTCGCTCCGGCCTCGACGCGCTGCTGGCGGAGCACGCGCGGCACGGTGAGGGCACGGTGACGGAGGAGGGAGGGGGAGCTAGAGACGGAGGGCAGCTACAGGGAAAGTACAGGGAGGAGGAGGGAATGAGAGGAGGAGGACGGGCGGGAGAGAGAAGGGGCCCCTCACACTACGCCTCTGTGCCAGCCCTCCCTTCAAGCCCTCTCTCCAAGCCGTCGGTGCAATAATCTCCTCTACTGCAG